CCCTGTCGGCCCCATGGGCCAACACAGGGGGAAAATGGTGTTTTCAGACCAGCTTTCGGGGACCTGTGCCCTGGGTTGTCCCTCGGGTGGGTGCCCCGTGAGGGGACCGGGGACCGGGACGTGGTGGGGAGGGGTGTGGGGTCCTTGTGGGTAGGTGAAGAAGGATGCACTGCTGTCTCCTTGTGTTTAAGCAGGAGCTTGTTGGTTTATGGTTAGATTTTTTCACACGACTTGGTGGGAACCAGAGCCTCGGGGTGAATTTTGTAGCGTTTGGCAGAAGGGTCAGGGGGGATTTCACTCTGCATTGGAACAGGAGGAGAAAGATAATTTACCTTACTTTTTTTCAGTGAGACAGTCATAAGGGATTTCTGAAAGCGTTTGTCTCAGAATTTCACAAGGTTTTCAGAAAGTGCCTGTCTCAAAATTTGACTCATAAACCATTTCTTACCATGGTCTCTACAGAAACCTGATCTGAAGAGGAGAGATATATTGCGTATGTGTGCGATTAGACTGTTGGTTTCAAACCTCAGAACAAAAGCTCCTTTACCCATTTTTCTCCATCCTGTCCTCTTGCAGGTACATCTTGTCAATAACAAATGAGGACGAGATCCGGGAGTATGTCGTTGACCTCATTCAGGGGACTGACGGGAAGAAGAGTCGGTTTGTAGAAGAACTGCTGGCCAGGTGGCGGAAATCCTCCCAGCTGCCATCTGAGCCTTTGCCAGCATATCGGAAAAAGGATGGTGAGTGGTATGCAGAGTAAGGAATTAAAGCCTCAAATAAGCTTGTCTCAGTTATTCTGTTTATAAACAATTACATGCCATGAATGCCCACGACTGGTCCTATTTCTGTTTGTCGTGACAGTGTAAAGCCCATTTTCATTCACCAAATAAGAGTTCAGGGACATCTTTCTCTTGCTGGTAGTTACTTAGCCTTTCTTTGTGCTTACGCACACTTCCAGAGACTTCAGAAGTGCCTCGGGCTGGAGACCAAGCGAAAAAGGGTAAACGCAAAGGAAGGAACAAGCAGGAGACTCTTGCGTACGCTGACCCAAGTGCACATGTAGAGGAAGTAAAAACCCCCCTGGACCTGGCCAAGGTGAGTGTATCTGCTATGCAAGGGCAGGCTGTGTGTCACTGGCTGCTGAGGGCACGCTTTGAACCTGGGTTACAGGGAAAGGTAATAAACAGTAAGAGAAGATGTGGTTGGCAAGTGGAAATAAGCTTTCAGAAATACGAATCCTTCCTTATCAGAGTCTTGATGAAGGGGATTATGTACCCGAAAGCACGTTTGTGTTTCCAAGCTACACCACAGGGTCCAATAAATGCTTTCCTCCCCTGCAAACCCTGTGTTGTTTTATATTCAGCACAGCTTCTGTGAAATATACATTTGTGTGTCTTCATGCATAGATAGCATGCAGTGTGGCAGCCACAAACTATAATCTGAGCAAATACTTTGGCAGCCATGGGGGTAGGCAAGGGTCCCACACTGCAGGTGCGCTGTCAGCGAGTTGTACAGTCACCGAGTTGCAATGGGAGGGGTGGCTGTTCCCGTACATCGACTGTTCAAAACTGACTGCGGATTTGGACAGGCCGTCCTCGTACCCTCTGTGTGTGTCCGGGAGTCTCATGGCTGTGGGGCAAATAATATGAGGATGGGGATAAAGATTGTGTATGTTTGTGTCTATAGCGGAGAGGAAAATAATCATCAGGTAGCGACTGTGTCAGAATGGATTTTACTCTGCCCCCAAAGAAGCCTGGATGAGAGAGTGGGCAATGGAAGTAGACACTGTAATTAGTAATAAAAGGTATTTCTTTAAAGCAATGGTGTGAACGTTGAGGAATTAAGGAAGCCACTAAGTGGGTAGAGGGTTCCTTCTAGCTGTATTTAAAACTTCCCAGTCCCGCTGAATAAAGCTTTAATTGGCAACTGAAATATTTCAGACTGCTTCTGAGAGGAAGCCTTGGGTGCTCGATAGAGGAATCTGATAGCTGTAGTGAGTGCCTTTCCACTGGGCAGCAGCTCTAGTTTGGCCGTTTCCCTCTCGCGTTCAGCTAGACTCCTGCACATTTATTGTCGAGATTGAGATGTTGTTTGATTTTGTGGAGACTTTTTTTGCAATATTCCTAAACAATCTGAGCTACAATGAAAGAAACTGCAAAATAAGAGCATAGGAACACTAAACAGCAAGAAATCCTGCTATTTTCAAGCAGCACAAGGCCATACAGCGAGCAGTAGTTGCCTTTCTCTGTGATAGTTAAGTAACTTTTTGCAGCAGACTTGCCTTCCATTCAGCAGAACGATTTCCCGCAGTCAACGCATCAAATATGACAATCTTTGCTGTTAAATATTGTTTTCATTACCTAGGCTGAATTTCTGGATTTTATTTCTGTTGTGGTGGGTTTTGACTTGGAGCTACTTGCTGGGAACCCAAGCTCCTTCCTTAGGTGCGGATCCAGCTGTACAACTGCAGTCCCAGGTCACAATCAAATACAGCAGATCACTCTATTGCTGTCTACGCACAAGAGTATGCTCTGCAGAAATAGGCATGTGGATGTGCAGCATGCTTGACTTGCATCGTTAGACTTGCAGTGGAGTCCTTTGTGCTATAAACATCGAGCACATTGCACCTCCCAAAATTAAATTCCATGATTTATCCAGGTGCAACCCTGACTGGGCAATATCCAGATCCTGAGAGTCAGAGTTGCATCTGAATAAATAGTGGAACTTAAATATATGTTTTTAAATTGAAGTTTTTGTAGCAGAGAGGCTTCAAATGCTTAAAGTGTTTGTAAAAGTATTTGTTTGCAAGATAAAAAAAAACAAATTTTTTGAACTGGAGTGTTAAAAATTGACGGTAATGTTCCATTTCCTTGTAGTTATCTTCTAACTTAATTAAAAAAACCCCAACAACTGAGAAAGCTCTGCCAAGGTTTGCTAACCAAGATCTCTTTATCTGTTTTGTTTTTTTTTTTTTCCATGACAGTAGTGTTTGGATCTGGCAGTGGTGGCAAAGCCAGTTGGGCAGAACTAGAGGGACTGGAAATGCTGCATCCGCTTGTCACTAAACCAGTAGCCTGCTGCTATTGAGAGCAGGTAAAAAGAGTCAAGACAAGAGGTGTCCTAATGCCACAGTGCGGCACCATCACTGAGAAAAGCCGCGTGGGAGGACATGGGATGTAGAAGCAGTGCTAGCTGAGGTGTGGGTCAGGGAGCGGGAGCAATCCTCTAGTGTGCAGCAGGCAAAGTGAGTTGTTGTTCTGTGGTGAATGAAAACAGACTTTCTGGGAAAGGGTTTCTGAGAAATCCTCTTTTCTATTATCGAGAGTGACTGTGGAGAGGCAAAGAAAAGCTGTGCTTCAGCTGCAAGAGGATTTTCAAGATACGACAACTAAAGGCCAGAGAGTGCATTTATATTGCAGTGCTGCTTGCTGAAAATAGATAAGGGTAATAAGTCCTAGTCTTTCTTGGTCATGGCTGGCATGCAATTCATGGTTGAAACCAGTCTCATCTGGTGTTACAAGACAGGTTTGTGCCTGGAGTGTCTTGTGCTTGTCAAAGCATCTGTTTTTGAGTATTGCCAGAGAAATGCTAGCAGTTGGCTTTGTTCTGTTCCCCTGGAATGATGTCTGTGCTGTAATTAATTCCTGCGATTAACTTCTCAACAATTTGCTTCTCAACCGATACTTGCTGGAGATGTTGGGTGGGAGGAGATACCCTTTGTTTCTTTGATCAAGGTGTAAGGTCTGAGGTAGAGAACAGAGAATTCCACTACTAGATTATTAATCCAGCCATCATCTAAAATATCTTGTTTTGTTTCTGATCAGGGTTTCACTGCCTCGGCCTGACCCAAAGCTTAGTGCCTGACCCAAAGCCTGACCCAATGCAGTCCCTGGTTGAAACTCAGAGAGGTGAATCACAGAATGACTGATGCCAAGTCATGAAATAAGGAGAAGAATTTACATTACAGCTAAATACTTGAATATACAGTGCATGGAAAACATCTGCTCAGGTGGCTGTGCCCGGTGGAAAACGTAAAAAATGCTGGATGGTGAACTGACCGTGAATGAAGAGGTCCTGCTGTCACCAACAGCTCTGTTTCTGGGGCTAGGCACACACAGGACTTCATAGTTACAAACAGAGCGTTGCTATAAACTAAATAGCCCTTGAAAATGAATCCAGGAGTAGATGAGCTGCTGTTTGAAGCTGTTAAATACCTGTGGGTTGATATTGCAGGTCTGGAGGACTGACAGCACGCCTGCTGTCTAGACCCAAGCAGTTTTAGCTTTCAGAGACAGCAAACATCAAGTGGATCAGCAACATCCTTATGTCCTTGCTTTGTTTAGATTCCTTGGACTTTTTCTGGCAGGCCTAATCTTGTCTTTCCATTGAATCTGGGGTCTGGTCCAAGTTTCATTCCAGTTAGGCAGAATAACACTTGTCTGAGTCTCCCCAGCCTGTTGAAGGGTCAGTGCTTTCTCTTTGCTGCCGTATTGCACTGTGAATACAGTTTGTTTATTTTTTTGCTTCTCAGGCACAGGAGAAGAGCAGTGGAGTCAGCAGCAGTAGCAATTCCTCTAAGAAGAAGCTCAAATATGTCAGCCTGTATACCAAGGAGGGGCAAGACAAGCTGGCCGTCCTGATCCCTGGGCGTCATGCCTGCGAGTGCCTGGGCCAGAAGCACAAGCTCATCAACAACTGCTTGGTTTGCGGGCGCATTGTCTGCGAGCAGGAGGGCTCTGGACCCTGCTTGTTCTGTGGTGCTCTGGTTAGTAACAAGGTGGTTTTTATTTGCCGTGCTTGAATGTGGTGTACTTTGCTCAGGGCTTTGAAATGTCTTGGGGCTGAATCAGCCTATCAGATCAAAATTCCTGTAGCAAAGTTCTCCAAACTCTAAAGCTGGACAGGAAAGAACCTGTACTATCTCCTTCTAGGGGAAGGAGAACTGCTGTGGCTTTAAGTCACTTTATGTTTCTTTTATGATGTGCTGCATCAGAGAGCGGAGAGGTTTCCCTCATAATTTACATCACTTTGGATCTTGCCTGAGTTGCGACACTCTCCTGTGGCTGTCCTGTGCGTCACAGTAGTGTCCAAAATGTGTGCAAGGCTTCAGCCTCATCCTGGGCACAGCCCTGGTAACCTTGTAAGGGGCAGGAGACGTGGCCAGGGCCAGTGTGTTCACTTTTCTTTAACACTTGTGCAATGTGCGTCATTTGGGGTACCTGTTACACCCTTTACTTGGTTGAAAGAGCACCTTTTAGAGAAAAGGTGCAAGTTAATGACTGCAGATTAAGCAAAGGTAAATTCAGGAGAGAGGAAAATATTGGTTGGAAGAAGAAAATGCTTTAAATCAGATTGGTTGCTATTTTTAAAGATCTGTTTAACTCCAGGTGGCCAACCAAGAGAGATGACCTCTGTGTTAGGCATTGTTCATCTACTTGGGGAGGTTCTGAGTGCGTTTCTCATCCTTTGAGATCACCTAGCAGTGTGCCCACCCACAGAACTGAGAAGGACCAAGCAGTAGATTTCTTATGGATTGCTTTTAGTAGAGAACAAGCTTTCAGGATTCTCTTCGTGTAAATAACCCCAAAGGGAAGGAGATGTGGACTATCTTGACCATTTTAAGCAGCTTAACCTGAGCTGTCATCCAGGGCTCTGAAGCTGGTCAACATGTGATGTCCTTCCTAAGTCTTCATTTTCTTTTTTTTCTTTAGGTGTGCACTAAAGAAGAGCAGGACATTCTTCAACGGGACTCAAACAAGAGCCAGAAGTTGCTGAAGAAGCTCATGGCAGGTCAGTAGCAATTACGTACCTATAATATAATGAATCATATCAGTTATGCAACAGCAGGAGCCCTGCTCTGCCTCACTGTTCTACACTTGCCTTGATGTTGTGTAGGAATGAAAGTGTGTGTGTCCTGGGGTGTAAATTGTCTAGATCCATTCATCCGAATTATAAAGAATTGCTGGCAAGGTCTAAAGGCAATTCTTTCTCAGGAGCTGACACCTGAATGTTTCTCTGGGGTACATATTGCCAGGACAGTTTGTGAACTTTATTTGCTTCAGACTTTACTGAGCCACTTGCCCTTGTTGCTGCACGGTGTCTGTGGTGGGCATTAAAAAGATGACTGAGAAGTTGGCTCCTTGTATCCTCTCTGCTGGCTCTCGACAGCATTTCTGGACTTCAACAGAGGTGATAACTGTGAGTGTCAAATGGCAGCATATAACGTCCTTACCCAGAGGCCCCAAGGCTGCTCGTTAGGCCTTCCTGAATCAATCACATGAACTGGATCATTGTAACAGTCCTTGAAAATTAGGATAAGTCTCATGTGGAATGTGTGCTGTGGAAGATGAAGGGCTGCTATCTGATTTGCTGGGTCTAGAGAGGTGGTGGTTAATATTTTCTAATGACTCTTCTTGTCTAACACTTATCTTGGGAGCTAAAAATAGGAATAGAGCCAAGGAAAGCAAGAGGAAATAATACCCAGTCTCCCAGCTAAGACCTGTGCATAATGGGGATGTTTGTCTGAGTTTAGCTGAAATATAGCCAAGGTCACAGTGTTCTTGGTAGAAAAATACACTTTGCTGGAGAACTGGGGAAATATTTACTCTGGATCTTGGTGCCAACTTCTCTTTAGAGCTGCTGAGATGGCAGGTCTTGTAAGTCCTTGAGAGTAACAGCTGATCACAGAGTCGGTCTGTTGTAGAGATCCTGATGTACTTCAGGATCCCCTTTTCTTACCCATTTTATTGATCTTCCCTTCTGCCCATGCCAAGTCTTGCTTTGTGCGTTATCTGTGTAGGTGGAAGCTGAAACGTGGTTAGCTATTTGTCTTGAGAGTGAAAAAATGTGGATCAGCAATGACAGGAAATACAGGCTTTTTTGTTTCCCTGAAATAAAGACGTTAGCCTGCACGATATCTTCTGTGAAATGCATTGGTTTGTACCATTGTGGTTTTAATGCAAACCTTTTATCTTTTGTTCCCTTTTGTTTGGTTGGTTGGGTTTTGGCCTCTTGCCAGAAATGGTAAGAAAGAAGAGATCGTTGCTGGGAATACATTTCTCCATCTCTAACAATAGCTGGTCTGAAAAACCTACTGAGGTGTCTTGGGGGAGGATTTGTTTTGCGAGAGGCTCATACAGCAGCAGACAGGAGGCTTGCTCTTTGCATAACTGGCAACTGTCGATGATCTGTTGTGACCAAGAGTCTCTTTGTGGAGGTAACAATGCTTAGGAGAGAATTTGGCTTTTAAGAGGGGACTCAAGGCCTGTGGTTGGTGATGGGCAAAATTTAGACTGACCAAATTGTTAGGGAATTGTGAAGGAGAATCAAAGACCAAGACCTCCTCTCTAAACACTACCTAGATGTTGTCACTGTAGTATTTAAATGCTTTCTTCTCTTTGGAGGAAGGAGTCTATGAAAGGGGCTAGAGGGAAAATTTGGGCTTGAACCTGGTTTGGAAAGGTGCTGCTCTTGGTGCAAAGTTCTTCTTTTAGCTACTTGAATGGCATTTGTTTTAGGGGGCTTTTCTGCAGCCAGGCCTACCAAGACTGGGCTTTAAACAACTGACTATTGAGCTGTGATTTGTTTTCCATCTCAGGTGCTGAAAGTTCAGGGAATTTGGATGCCATAAGCAAAGACTTACTGCCTCGACAAGAAGCTAGACTCAAAGCAGGCCTGGAGATGGCTGTGAAACACAAAGACAAGTTGTTGGAATTTGACAGGACAAGGTAAGATACTAGCTGTGAGACTATCGTGAAGTAGCATAAATTATCTGGCAGGCTAAGATGCCTCTCGCACAAATGTTAGAGAGTTCCTTCTAAAACCTGGGCTGTAGCTACAGACACCTTAACGTCGGCATTTGGTGGAACAAGGGTAAACCCCTCGAATGGGTCCTGTTTGGACATCCATGCGTTGTGGCCCTGACAGTCCAGCTCTAGAGAGAACAGAAAGGAGCTGGTAGGAAGGCAGGTTTGGGGCAGTCAGTGCTGTGTCACTGTCCTGCTGTGCTCATCTTCTACCATTGTGGTTGTTTCTCACCAGTGTGCGTCGAACCCAGGTCATTGATGATGAGTCAGATTACTTTGCCACAGACTCCAACCAGTGGCTCTCCAAGCAGGAAAGGGAAGCCCTCCAGAAGAGAGAGCAGGAGCTGCGGGAGCTGCGTCACGCCTCTCGGCTTGCCAAAAAAATCACCATTGACTTCGCTGGCAGGCAGATCCTGGAGGAAGACAACAGCATGGCTGAATACCACAGCAAGTGAGTGAGAACAGGCAATGCGAAGGCAGGCCTGAGAGCAGGGAGGTGAAAATCATTATGGATAGTGGTCTGGCTGAATCTGGAAGAGCAAGTGTAAGGAAAGCTGAGCAAGCCAATCCCTTAAAGGGCACCTCTGACATTAGGATGCAGTTTTGCATTCTTTTCTTCCTTGAAGGTCTTTTTAGCTTGCAGCATATCATCTCTTTCAGCACTACTCTGCTGAGACCCTCTTCTAAGCCCAACTGTATAAGGCTTGCACAGAGTTTCAGTAGCTGGCATGTCTGTTAAAGATAAAGCTGCTCTGGAAAGAGATGTTGCAGAAGGCCTATCTCAACAGAACCAATTAATCTCAAATTCAAACCAAGCTGAGTTTCTGTGGTAGAGAAGGGTGACTGTTCAAATTAGAAATCAGACCGAGTTGGGAAATTGTTTAGTTAGGGGAGGTGGTAAAAAAATGCTTTGAGTCAGAAGAGTTTGTGTGGGGAGAAGGGAGACGTTGCTAGGAGGAAGCAGGGAATTTTCATGTCTCTTGTTTGTGCTTGCAGACTGGATGAAACCATCGAAGCCATTAATTGTGGCACACTGAGTGAGCCAGCCAGGAGCCCAGAAGCAAAGGCAACTCTGAGTTCTGGTGTTTTAGTGAATCCCCATCTTCTTCAGCCTGCTCCTTTGGTCAGTATGGGTTGAATTATTTATTCCAGAGTAATGACTAACTTTTGGAGAGCTGAGCTTAAGAATTGTGAATTCTAGCATGTTTGTAGTACCTCTTTTCTCCCCTGTGTCTGAGAGACCTCATTAACCATCTGAGTTGGGGACAGAGAAGGATTGCCAATGACCTACTCTGTTCCCTGGTCTTGGTAGGTTTAGTTTATCTGAGTTTTAGTTTCCTGCCTCCTTTTCAGGAACGTGGAAGAATTTCTGAGCGTTAGCCTAAGGTCGTGTCACTTTTTCAGCTCTATTTATGAAGCCTTTTCTGCCAGATTCCCGGTTTCCAAAGGGCATAATCTCTACCCTCTAATTCTACTTTAATCATGGTATTCTTGGTGCATGCTAAGATTTGGAGGTTCGACATTTCCCAGTTTTGAGAGTTGATGGCTGTGAATATGCTTCGAAAATTGTATCTTGCTCTGAAACCTCTCAAACACCAGCAGCTAGATTTATTCTTTAAGTCCATAGTTTAGCTGTGATGCGTAGGAAGGAAAAGCTGCACGGAGCGGAGCATGACCTTGCTTTTTCTGCTGCTGAAGTATGGCATGTAAGTGCATCGAGCTTGCAAGGAAGGAAGAATGATCCCAATAAGAGCAATACCTCTGTCCTTAAATGAAGAAAGACTTCAAATAGGATTTACACTTGATATACATTGTTCCTAGAGAGATGCTAACCTTTTTCTTGTTTTGTTTTTGAACGTTCTGAAGTGGGTGGACCAAACTGGTTTGCTCCCACACAGGAAAGCCATCCATTCCATGGATGCTGGAAATGAGTCTGGCTCAGAGCGGAACAGGTTGCGGATTCAGGATCGAGAGTTGCAAGAGATCTCAGATGATGGGTGGTGCCTCAGCATGCACCAGCCTTGGGCTTCCTTGCTCATAAGAGGAATCAAAAGGTAAAGGGGTGGCCTGAACTGTGATGTATCCTGATCAGCTCTTGCTTCATAGGTGAGATGGGAAGTTGTGTTCCTCGGAGGACCTTTATAGACTTACTTGCATTGTACAGTGACTGATACCTAATGTTAGCTCCAGGTTTGGAAGCCGTGCGTCCTCATCCAATGTACTGATGGTTTGATAAGCTAATGAACCTGTTTTTCATGAGAGTAACTAACATGGAAGGTACAAGTTTCTTCACAGTGGGTAAATTGAGAGAGAGGCTGAGATTTCTGCACTGTAGCCACGGTGTACCTTTCTGGAATTGGAAAGGTAAATAAGCTGAAAATGTGAAATATGTTCTTCTGGTCTTTTTGTCCATCATAAAAAGCCAGCAGTGGGACCAGGCTTTGTTTAAAAAAACCCAAACCACACATCTACCCCCCTTGCCAGCACCTTCCCCCTCTGGGCTAGGAATCAGGTTACAAAGAGAAGCTCCTTCAGCACAGCATCCCTGGCATGTTAATTCCCCTTTCCTACCACTAATATAAAACAAAGAATCTTCTTTAGCTTTTTTTTTCCTTTCCTTCACAGACTTTTTCATTTTAGAGAGCAAAGCTTTTTCACTTCCCAAGCTAAAGATGCTGTAAATCTTAGCGTGCACTTTCTATATCAAGGTGGTCTGCGGATGCTGTCAGCCGCTCTGATACAGCTGCAGCATTGATACCTAGAGCCCGTTCTGGGATCCCCGAGAGCCGCATCTAACTACCGCTTCATACAGATGTGTGGTCTGTTATTACTCCCTAGATTGCATGCTTACTGTGCGTAACTTTTTGAGCTTGTAAGGGAATTGTATGAGCAGATTGTCCTACACACGTGTCGAGCATACTGCTGTACTTGCAGGGGATTGATGTCCTTTTTTGCTGTTGCTCTAAAGCAGTGAGGACGTGCTCTGCTTGTGGCATTATTTCTTGTCCATCTCAGCTTTCCTCTGTAGTGCTGACACATTGCTTGAGTTTAAATAGTCAGGGCAAAGCTTAGCAGGAATTGCGTAGCGAAACATTCAATTGAAAATTCTGTCCGTGTGGGTGATTTCTGCTGGAATTTCAGTCCTAAATTCTCCTTTGTTCTCTAGGGTGGAGGGCAGGACCTGGTACACATCTCATAGAGGGCGGTTATGGATTGCAGCTACTGCTAAAAGACCTTCCCCTCAGGAAATCTCTGAACTGGAGACCACCTACAGAATGCTGCTCCGGAAAGGTGAACTTCTCTCCTTGGATCTTTGTGTTATTTGGTACATTGAGCCACGTAATGAGCAGTGTCAGAAAGCCCTCTCTGCTGAGCAGTTATTACTGCTTTGCTTTTTAACCTTCTGTTCTTGAAATTCTCTTCATCCCTTCTGCATTTCGTCAGCCGAATAGGTATGGTGACAGACTTTAACTCCATCCTTTAGCTGGTCACATACTCCATGCACAAACACCGTTGAATTGCACCTGACTTCTGTGATAGCTTTTGACAGCAAAGGACTTCATTTTATTCTTGGCTCAAGCAACAAGCTATTGAGTGTGTGCTTGCATGCGTGTGAAGTGGCTTGTGCTTCAGTCTGTTTACAGTGATGTTAAAGGCTTTTCATGTATTCTGACCTTGCAGAAATCAGGACTGAAAAGCTGCAGGTTCTCAGGAAGACGTTATTCTCTCAAGTGGGTAGGAGGATGCTGGTGGCTGCACTGCATGCCTGTTTGTGCGGTGTTTCTGCACGTCAGCCAGCTTAAATGTCATACAGCAGGATTGTCTGCTCACTCATCAGGGCAAGGAGCTCTTCCTGCACTGTATATTCCCCTCTCAGAAGCTAAGCAGGGAAAGGTGTATATATAATTAAATCTCCCAATCTTAGTCCTGTCACGGTGAAGATCCTGAGCTGGAAAAAGAACAACAGAGTGTTAAAATTGCTGTATGTTTTCTTGTGCCTCAAAATGTAGAAATGTATGGAGGAGAGAGAAGGGCACCTGGGTGTTAGAAGACCCCAGCTATATGTGTAGGGATGTGGGCCCCCTGAAGAGATATTTCTTTTGATGCAGATGTGGAATTTCCAAGCGATTATCCCTCAGGGTGCCTCCTAGGCTGTGTGGACGTGACCGATTGTTTATCGCAAGAGCAATTTAATGAGCAGGTGAGTACAGCTAATAAACCTTTACAAGCTTACATTAGCAAACTTTTAAAGTAGTGTAACTTGCCTCCATGAGATGCTCTGGAGAAGACATTGAATGGAGATTTTAGATTGTATTGAGAGAAGACACAACTACTACGCAATCTTGTATGGCTAGAAAGAGAATGTACTGAGAAAATGCATTTCAACGATGGCGGAAGGGAGTGATGGACTAATACAGACTAAATCCATTGTCAGCTTCTCTGGCAGTGAGGTAGTTTGGTTGAAACTGGTTTCTCACATACTCTGAAACTCTTTTCAATAAGGATTCACACCTGTTTAATTAAACCAACACTACCTTGAGAGACCATGCTGCAAGGGCTCATGACAGTCATTACTTCCCTTGCTGCATGGATGGATGGCTGTTGTGGCTGTGCTGAACTGTGGAAGACAGGAATCTGCAATGCATTACTGTTGGCGCTTTTGGTTTTTATCCTCATTTGGGAAACTGGGGAGCTTACATCTTACCTGGATGTGGCTTCTAAAGTGCTGCTTGTTTCTATTAAAGAAACTTCATGAGGTCATAATAGAAAGAATTGCTCCAAGTTTTGCCCAGCCAATTTTTCACTGCCTCTGGGTATAACTGTGCTGATCTTCCCATCTCAGGGAGGACTCTGGATTAGGAAGGATCAAGTATCTGTTTGACTGCTTTTGGAGTACAGCGAACAACTCCCTGAGCACAGCCAGCAGAGAATTTGCAGTTATTGCAGTGATTTGTGTGTGACAGAGGATGTGAAGGGGCCTGGAAACTCAAGACAGCGTGGGAGCTTGGAAAACTCTGCAGCAGTGGTGGTGATGTGCTGTGTGACCTTGTCCCTGGTGCTGTGGTGCTTAGTGGGATCAACTACCCTGGTATAAGAGAGGGTAGCTTGACCCATCATTTAGGTCGGTACCTGCTGGAACTGCCTGGTGCTTCTTCTGGGAGCTGAAGGTTGCACTGGCCTCACTGGAGAGACTCAGGCTCTGGTTGGGGCACTGAGTCACCAGGAGAAGGAGCTGTGTGAAGAAGTGAGCACCTTCCCACCAGGGAGGTTGAACAGGAGAGCTGCAGTGTCTTCACGGAGACCCTGCAGAGAGGACATCCAGAGCCCCTAGATGTAGGGAAGGAGGGACAGCTGGAGATTACAGTGGATCAGGACTCCCAAGAGAGTCAAGGGACGTTTAAGTGGCCTTCTTCTGAATGAGGCAGGTGTTTTGATGACAAGAGACACAGGTAAGTTTGAGGTACTGAGGCCGCCTTCACCTCAGGCTTCACCAGCAAGATCTGCCAGAGATCTCATACCTAGAGGCAGAGTTCAAGAAGGAGAGGGAAGTGTAGTGAATGAAGATTGAATCAGGAGGCTTTTGAGAAATCTCAACCCGTACAAGTCCATGAGTGCTGATTGTGTGCATCCAAATGTTCTGAAAGTGTTGGCAGATGTCTTTGTGAGACCACTCTTACTTTGGAAAGGTTATGAAGATCAGGACAGGACCCTGATAACTGTAGAAAGGTGACTATTACATCTATCTTTAAAAAGGAAAGGAAGGATGATCCTGGACACTTCAGGCCAGTCAACTTCACTTTGGTCTCTGGGAATTTCATAGAGTGATCCCTCTTGGAAGCCAGTTTGGGGCACATGGAGGAGAAGGACATTGGGAATAGCTAGTGTGGATTTACCTAGGGGTAAAATCGTGCTTGACTAACCTGATTACCTCCTGTGATCCAGTAGTTAGAGTGGTGAATATCTTGTACTTTGTGTTTAGCAAGGCTTTCAGCCTGGTCTCCTACAGCATGCATATATCCAAGATGAGTCATTACAGTCTGGATGGGTGAACTTCTAAGGTTGACAACTGGCTGGGTCATCGGGCTTCAAAGTGCAGTGGTGGCTGCCTTGTAATCTCCTGGGACGTGGTGTTTGTTCCTCAGGGCTTTTTCCTCGAGCTTCTCCAGTTTAATACATTTAGCAATGACCTGGAGAGGGAGATGGAGTGCCCTGCAATGAGTTTTTGAATGCTGCTGTTGGGGGGAGCAGTGGGTATGCTCAGCAGCAGGGCTGCCATTCAGAGGAACCTTGACAGGCTGGAGGAAAGGGCTGGTGTGATATTCCTGAAGGCCCAACACCAAACCCTGCACCTGGGGTGCTGGGGAGCAGCTCTGCTAAAGAGGCACTGGGGATCTTGGCAGCCAGCGAGCTGAATGGGAGCCCTGGCAGCGAGGAGGGCTGGCGGCATGATGGCCCAGTATGGCCAGTAGAAGTGAGTGTTCCTCTTTGCGCAGCATTGGTTAAACTACATCTGGAATACTGTGGTCACAGAAAAGATGTTAATAAACTGGAGTGAGTCCAATGGAGGCCACCAAGATGATTTGGGGCTGGAGCACATGCCCTGTGAAGAGAGGCAGGGAAGAAGAGAGACCTTCCACTTCCTGCAAGGAGATTTTAGAAAGACAGAGCCAGGCTCTGTTGAGGTACACGGCAGGAGGATGAGAGACAACGGGAGGGTCGATTTCATAAATTGAAAGGAGAGGGTTCAATGTGACTTAAGAAAAAAAATTCCCCATGAGGACAGCCAAGCAGTGGAGCAGGCGTTGCCCAGAGGGGTTGCGCAATCTCCACCCTTGAAGATTTTCAAGACCCGATAGGACAAAGCTGTGAGCAACCTCGCCTGAATTCAATCCTGACGCTACTTTGATCAGGAGGTTGAGACTAGAGACCTCCTGAGGTCTGGGCCTGTGATGCTGTGACTGTCTCCGTTCCCAAAATCTGAAACAGCGGCTTTCCTCGGGGTGTGTTTTATTCTTACAAAGCCTGCGCTTAGTACCAAGCACAGCATGGCTGTTCCTGATACCATTTCATGCCTGTTCACTCCACTGCCCCTTGTACAGGTCAGGTTTGGTCTGATAGGAATCGCCAGACCATGTAGGGCTTGATAGTGAACCAAGACCATCTTGTGAGATGGAACAAATGGATTCCTTGGGGTGGAGCAGGAGGACACACCAAGCTGATGGACTACTTCTTGCCATGAAGAGTTGGAGAGGCATCAGCAGCTGGGGTCTGTTTCTCATGAAGTGCTCTTCTGGCTTTCCCAAACTCTGTGAGGTTTTTTAGCAAAGAGAGATGCCTGGAAAGCAGAGATGAAGAGAGTATTACTGATGAGGTTGTGTCTCTTCTTAGTCGCAGGTGGAAGGGGGAGAGGTTGGAGTACGAGCAGCAGAGGGAGCTTTGGGACTGGAGTACAATGAAATCTGCAGGAGTATTTGGCCTTGGGAGAGCAAAGAGGAAAGGACGCTGGGGCCAGCATAAGGTTTTTCTTCTGTAACATCCACTAATGTGCTATTTGGTCTTAAATGGAGGTTCTCGTCCTTCTTCTGCTGTTTGTAACAGTGGTGGAAAAATACGTCCTGGTCTCTCACAAGTACTTTTCTGTAACCATTCCTCCTCTTCCTTTGTGGGTATGTTCTTCAGGCATTGGTAAAATGGCTGTGACAACTTCTTACAATCTCGAAATTGTGCTGTAGGTAACAAGCTTTTAATCTTCCCATAGAGGACCCTTGCAATTAGCTATGTTCTCTATAAATTCCACTCAGTTTGCTGGCGCTGCTTGGCTGCAGAGGCACTGGAGTGTAATGTATTCCAGCAGCACTGTTATCAGACCTCTTGGCGAGAGACTTACCTCTCTTCTCAATGCCATGGCAATTCCTAGTTTATATTTCACTGGCTTTTTGCTGCTCCCTTATTGCAAACTATTTATAATTCCTAATTTGTTGCCTTTTTACAGTGGTTCTGTCCATTTTTTTCCCCAAGATCGCTGTATGCAACATTCATTTTCCTAGCCTGTAAAATTGAATTCAGAGATCTGAGTATCTTTCTGAAGTTGGTTTATGAGGAAATGTATGTTTTTGTGGACTACCATGAACCTCAAGTGTATCTGAAGGAAGCTGAGATCAATTTAATTGTGAATGCTAGCAAGACGAAAGAGTGTGCAGCGCCAGCTCAGAAATCCGAGTTGGATCTTACTGGGAGTAGGAAATCCCGGTTGCTCACGCTGATGATTCAGCCCAGGTTCATCAGCAACCATCACCAAAGCCACTTGTCAGCAGTGTAATCCAGCCATTTCTTGGTGTACAAAAACTCCTCCTAGCTTCAGGGGGAGAGGGAAAGGAAGATGATGTGTTTTCACCACTTAATGGCATGCAAAAAACATTAAATATTTTCTAAAGATCTGCAGTATGTTAGCAAGCAAGGTAATGTGATGCAGCAGCAGAGTCCTCCTGGAGATTAAGCCACTGTGGAGCTCTTCTCAGGCACTGTACTTTGACTCACACCTCCCCTCTTCACCAACTCATATTTGAAACTTCTACTTTTTCCGGAAGAAATCATTTCACATATGCAGGGCAACCCACATTTGCAGATTATACCCACCACCCGGAGATGAAGTAGTTCCCTGTCTTGCTCATTGTCTTTTGATGGTGGGCCTATCTTGTTCAGCAGCCATGGAAGTTTGTTTTGAGTCTTGTGACCATTCGTTCCCACAGGCAAGGGAGATTCTTCCTGGTCTGTCCCTCCTGTGACTTTTCTATTATTTCTCGGTCCTTTTGATGCTGTCACCCACTCCCTATTTAGTACTGTCTGTAGATTTAATTTCCTTGGTGTTTGCATCCTCTCTCGGGTTGCTAATGAAGATGTTAGTGGCACCCTGCTGGTATTTTTCTATCATTATCCTCATTTAATATTTCTTTTTACACTTGTGCTCAAGAATCAAAATCAAGCAAGAATGCCCCATTTCGCTGGATGTTGCACCAGCAGACTCAGACCAAGTCCCTGCCCCGAGAGCTTGCATTATTATCAGGGACTGGTTATTTATCCACATTATTACTGGACATGTAAGTTGGGCCTTGCGTAAACCCTTCAGAGGAGTCAGTCTTGCAGCTTTGTCCTGTGTACAGTATTTGAAGACCGATTGACATTGTTGAAGTGGTTTGCAGA